ATAAGGAACGTTTGGTCAGCATTTGTGCATTATTAGAAATAATCAGCCACAAAGTAAACTGCTAACATTTCGTGAAATATAATTCTTTTGCTTCCTTGAAGATCTAACATTGGCCATAGATAAAATTCAAAAAGTACTGATGAAGGTTTTGATCACGGTTTTGGTGCATGTCCACGCTACCCTGCGAGCAGAGGCCAACTAATCTAGGAAGATCAAAGGGCCTTTGTTCAAAGAAGGTTGGCTTCTGGCTCTCCCACCTATGTACCTCATTTTTTGACTCATCTTCCATTAGGCAATAATAGATATTATCTGGAAGTGTTGGGTTACCAAAATACAGTATCTAATTAGCAATTTACAATTTCTTTTCCCAGGTGGTATGCATAGGTGCAGATTGGCCAGGGGGGATATTAATTTCACATATATCATTATAAATTGTTTTATTCTAATAATATTACACAAAATGCAGGATGCTTCCTTTCCGATCCTTACCCGGTATTCAAGTATCTTATGCTGCTATGTTGTATGTGTCTTTTTTTTGTTTTTAACTTCTCTCAGTCAAAGGTTTTTATTTTGATTTCAGCGTCACATCCTTTGCACCCCTTGCTGGCATTTGCATTAAATCCACCACATGAAGCACATTTCTGAAGTAAAATAAATAGTCAAACAAATCAATTTAAAGGCAGTGATAATGTGGACTGTATGTATTGTATACACATCTATGTACACATATTTTGTTTGACTAAGATTCAGGCTATTATAGATAAAAAAAACCAACACTTCCATGGCATTGATCACAATGTATGGGTTTGGACTCAATGATAGACTTTCAAAGTAGAAATAATTCAGTTTATCTGCAAGAACTGCTGATTTTTGTTTTTTAAAAAATGAATTGGGGTTCATTTTGTTGGTCAAGAAGAGCCAGAGATAAAAATACGAACCAAAAAGGGAGCCAATTATTACAATTATAATAATAATTTTCTGGTATAGTAGCTGCCTGGTATTAGAAATATATCATTTATTGTTGGATTAAGAAGACTGCGCAAACTTTGACAGACAATTATTTGAGGTACATATAACAGGAATCTCAAAATTATTTGCAACCAAAGGAAACGATCACAACTTGAGGTAAGGGAACTTAAGTGAAATACACTCATTACATTATGTAATACCTTGTTTTCCTTTCTTTGAGTTTAATTGCCTTTCTTCACCCACTAAAATGCCAACATGTACTAACAGCAATTAATCCCAACTAAATTTCAAATTTAAACAATTGAGAAAAACTGTACCACTAGTTTGAAATACAATGTATAAAAGTTGTCTATTATAGTGACATGAACTAATAATTCATGTAAGTAGTACTGTACTACAATATCCACATGGAGCATTAAAAAATAAAGAAAAATAAATTGAAAAGACTGAAATGTAGACAATATACTCCTATTTTCATCATCAAATAACTGGATCACATCAATCCCTGTCATTCTAGTTTCTTTATAGATAGGTACTTGTAGGTACTAAATAATTGTCTAAAGGAGTCTAGCCCTTGGCATTTTACTGCCAGCACTTAACTACAGTTTCTGAAGCATGTAGTGACAAGGAGTATTTATAGGATGCTTATCAATCAGAGAGGGCAAGCCTCACAATTACATTTGCCTGTAGACCACTTTCATAAATGGCTGCCGGATTAATATTCTTTAGTTTAAATTTAAATTAGCCCTTCTGCCGTCATTCTCCAGTACAAAATTCAAAAGAATACATTATCTCAAGTGAGGCCAGAAGGGCTAATTTAACAAAAGAATATTAATCCCACAGCCATTTATGAAAGTGGTCGGTCTATACCCATTTATACACATGGGCAGTGAGGGACATTGTGAGGGTACTGTGTCCTTCCCAAGGACACAACCATTATATGCACTAATCATTACAGCCACCAAATCTCGCACTTCACGATAAACTAATAATGTAATGCTAAAAATATGATATATAAATGAAGTTCAATATGAGTGTGATAACAGCATGGCTGCCAAAACATTAGGTTTTTAAATATGTTATTCAATTGTTTAATAATGGATACACACATAATTTAAAAACCTCGGCAATAGTCTGGAGTGATCAAAATTTAAACTGAAATTTACTT